ACCAGTGACGTGCCAGCCCTCTAGCCCTGTTAGTCCTCCATTCACTTCATTACATTCTGAAATTCTCACCAAAGTCCTACATGCTTCTTAGCAATGACCCATGCAAAAATTATCTCACGACAATACAACATGCATTATACACAAACATATGCAACTATCATCTAGACATGACCATCCATAATCACAAGAATACCTTTCTCTCAACTGTCAGCATGCTCTAGATTCGAAAATAGAAAGCCAACATATATCCTACAAAACAAGTTCGCAATAGTTCATTTTCAAATACAAGTTGCACGACAAAGTCAGCATGCTCCAAACACAACAAGTCATAGAGCCAAAACAGTTAACACAACTTTCACATTCAGCCCAACCAGGACACAACATCAATCCAACTTGGCTAACCAATATTATATCCAACATGTATATAGCTCATAATACAGTATATCCCACATCTACATGTATTTCCAAATGTTACTCAACAATTATAATGTAAACAACATTTACAAAGTATCATAAATCTCAAACAATCATTCAAAAGACACTTAATAGGCCCACAATCAAACAAACGCATACAGCAAACAATCCCCTCAAGTAAGGACTACTTACAAACAATGTCCCAGAGCACTACTAAGCTCATTGAAGGGTTCCTAAATCCAAAAGCAAACCAAACTTGATTAGAGTTCATGTTAGAAACACTTAATTTGCATCGAAACTAAGTTTAGGTGATCCATTACCTACTATCTCACCTTAAAACCTCTTGGGTTAGGAGTGGGTCGACGCTGAGGATGTTCGGGCTCCAAAATTCGACTTCGAATGGCCTTAGGCTTGCTGATTTGATGTCAAACAGTTATGGGTAATGCTGGGTAATGCTGATTTGAGTCCAATTAGAGGTGGGTCAACGCTTAACTAATGTCGAATAGAGTGGATATCATGAATCAAGTTCCGATTATGTGTGGGTAATTGTCTAACGTCGCCGGAAGGGAGCAAACACCACTGAACGGAGCTGTTGGTGGTCATTGGAATACACACGGCCGTGGGTCACCGGAGATTTGTTGGACACAAATAACCATTGGCGTTGCTGTTGTCCAACACACCACCACCGCCGTTCGTGGTTGCAGCAACTACGTGGTGTGTCGGAGACGTCGCAATGCTGCAGAAATCGAAGGAGATTTCGCGCCGCTGTGGAGTCCACCGTAATACACGAAAACCCGTTGGAGACCGCCGCTGCTAAGTCGGATTTG